AAAAGTATCAAACGGACATTTTCGCCTACACCACCACAAACTGTGCACTACAGGTACATTCTTTTCAATAACATGTTCATCTCCGGGGTTTTGGGTGTAAATTGTTCAACTAATATAGTTAAATAAACTGGCTAAAGCCGAGGAGCGAGCCGTGTAATTAGTTTCTATGTCACACCGGACCCGTTTGACTTTTTGTGGACAAAGATATTCTTTTTATTAACTAGTTCCTGAGAGTTACCGTTACTTTTGTTTATATTTATGCAGTACCGAATTTTAAAACATCGATTACATTAGAGACAAATATATATGTAACTGTCGAATGCTCCGTCGTTTCTGCCGTATGACCCGTATGACCGTACATTTCAAGTTGTAACTTCCCAGCAATCATAAGAACGAAATGACAGGCGAACTGAAGCAAACAATTTAACATTTTGAACAAAATGCACAAAGCAATACAACATTGTAAATATATAGTTTTTTGTTGTTGTACATCGCACATCGTGTGCGTCTTTAAAATCCTTACTAATTCACTGTAGCTTAAAATTTGACTGTGTAACCTCTGCAAGTTTGTGCCATATCCCACACTTGATGATTTAGGATTTCACCAGTAACGGGTCTATGTATATATAAATAGCTATATTTTCTTCTACAATTCCAATGATAGCATAGGTTGGGTCACATACTAAGACTCACAAAGCGTCAAACACAAACATAAATGATATAATCAGTGGCCGGAAGATACCCAAAGCGCCAACAAGACGTGGACCATATCAATCCGAATTTTGATCAATTAATCTATAATAATAATAATGGTATATTTACATAATTTCCGAATCTCAATATATTTTTTTGAAGAAACAATCAATCAATTTCCTTGAAAGAGACAATTGCAAATTAAAATGATTATGACCTTGATACTTCGCAACGAAAGAATGTCGGGTGATGTGGTCAATTATTTGAATATTTTCCCTTGCAATCGTGTTTTCCGTATTTTAAAATTAGATAAAATAGTTAAACGCAACACATCTTTCATATGTTATGTATCTGTCACAAAGTATAACTCTTAACGAGCATTTCTGAATTTGTTCTAGTTGGTTTGTTTCCTTATCGTTAACATTTGAGTTCAAAACAAGTACTGCATATATAATAAATATAAACGACACGAACGTAAATGAAGACGATTAATTTGTGATATAGTTATTCAAAAAGCCAGCAAAACATATATTTCAAAAAGGTAAGGCAGAACAAGCACAAGCGTAGAATATTATGCACGTTGGTTAAATTGAAAGGGGAGAGGAAGTCACGAATGGGGAATAGAAAGTCACGAATTGACCAAAATCAACAACATCAGTGTAAGACGTGTAATTATGTGTACAACAGATTAATGTAAGACAGTGAAATGATGACTATACAGCAGTGATGTCTATCATATAATACGCAACAAGTAAACTTGAATGAGATATATGCATATATGCAACTGTTCGTGTCAAGAATTGAAAGTCATACCAATATTGCTACTGATTTCACTATTAGTATACTTAGACATATTACGAACATATGAATACGTTATTAGAACTTATGACCAATGCAAAGCGCCTCCACTCGCTACTGTACACTCTCACTACTACGCGCACCTTCACTACACCTCTCTAACCATTTCAACAAAGACAAACATATACACTGACGAGATGGACACGCACAAGTCGAGTCATTGACGCCAAAAACAATTGCATATATTTCATTTTATTTCTTAAATTGGTTTATGTTAATAGCTTGCATATCCCACAATCAAAGTTAAAATAGGATTTTATAAACATAATTTAATCAACGGGTTCCAGTTAATGTTTTGAATTTTGTATAAATTGACAATATATTATTATCGATTACATGAGAAATTAATTTTCGACTTGTGGTTATTTGACCTTAACATCATATCGAGTCTACAGCTTGGCTATTTCATTACATATACACGTGACATTACAATGTGTGAAGTATATCTAAAGTAAGAAACGACAGCAGCAACTATTAATTAATTCAAATTCATATAACAAATGCTCAGATAAATATATTTTTCGGAAAGTTGAGATATAGGAATATGTCTTAGTGTGTATTTTCGAGTCACTGTTCGCTCAAGGGATTATCTTACGAAATATTGGGAACAACTGAAAATTAGTTTCGTTTACAATGATTATGACTTAGCCGTCGAAAAGTCATCAATGACTCTGATAATAAGATTATTCATCGGTGGTTCACCAACTGCCCGCTCTCTCAATAAAACGAAAGCCAACATCATTGATAAATAAACATTATCATACACGCGTTTGTTGCTATTCTATTTGTTTGTTCGAGTCGAACGTTTTTATGAATAATTAAATATATTACTAGTACATAATGCTTAGTAGAGTAATATTACAAAATGCATAAATATATGCAACATCTTGCCCCAAAATTATGTGTGGCGGTCAAAATGCTAAACATTTGATCGCGTGTTACCTGCTAGTGCTCTTTTTATTCCTGGCAACCTTCCACATACCTCCTCCCAGTGATCAAAACATGGCAAACCGGCCAAACATTGGACAATGATCATGGACGAAATGACGAAAACAATCAATAATATCCTCGTGCTGTTCATTGTGGCTTCAGGGTTATCTACAAAAAAATAATATATTGTGGTATATATATCGAAGATGAAGATGGATTACTATTGCATTTGAGAATCTGACACATCCTGTACTGAGATGCATACCATAGACGAATGCAAACAAGTTTGCAGCCTGAGAATAACAGAATACAAATTGATCGTCAAAGCGGAAGACCCAAAATGCCCTTTAAATGGCAAATAGTGACAATATAGAAATTTAAATATGAGATCACGATATACAACGATTTTAGGGTGTATTGCTTTTGTTTTATGTTTATTTGACGCATTTTGCACAGCTGCATACTATCCACACCAGAACGAAAAAAATGGGGAAAAAACACGACAATTTGTAATTTCTGTGCGTATTACATGGGATGTGTTTTAGGTAACTGTTTAGGTATTTTTCAGCTCTATGTTAGATCATACATCATAGATTGTAAACAAAATCATGTGTGTCAACTAATAAAAGACAGAAAATGTAGTCTACCTCTCACTGTGCGTCGAAGCTGAACAAACACACATATCCCAACAAATTCATAAAATATAACTATAAAAATTAAATATGATATACAAAACTAAAAATAAAATATATTCTTCATTAAGTATAACTTGCTATTAATATTTTTTAAATACAAGAATAGAGAGTCCATTCACATAAAAACAATTCCAATAATCTACTTGTAACAAGTACATAGAAAAAAAAAAATTGCAAAAATAAGCGATCGGTTTGAATACTCACATTCAGCGGATTATGTAGTTGATTTGACGATCTCTTCCTTGGTTATAACTCGATTCTACACTCACTGTTAATAGTGATCACTAGTCGCTTTTATATTGCGGCGTCAAATATGATGACCGCGTAATAACAAATTATACAGAGACGCCTCGCGTTAATAAATATGGTGTTGTTATTGGTAGATCGTGTCATATGAGGAAAATGCTCAGCGGGACAAAATGAGTAATCAGCGGAAAATGACACTGTCAATTGATGTAAATGACAGGGTATTAAATAGGACATATTGCATATTATCTGTAAAAAGATCAAGGTCATATAATAACAGGTCATCATTGCATGTGCGCGTTGAAATGCCAGTACCCTTTGTTTTAAAGTCGCAGTTGCTGCAAAGCATGTTCGAGTTTTTAATTTTCCACGCGTTGTATCGCGCGACGCTATGCGACGACCGTGGCGTTTTATGGAATGCTATGTCTCTCTCTCTAGCTATATACACATTTGGTACTTTAGAATATTAACATGATCCATACGGAAATAACACCTGTGGACATTACACATCAGAATATTGCAAAGTATGCGGAACGTCGACCGGCTCGTTGTTTACATGGTTGTTTAATATATGAGTAACAGTGCTGTTTTTTCATGTATTATTGATTTAGCGACAGAGACTTGGCAATAAACCATTGATCGGTTCAATCGACATTGTTCAAATTTTCAACTAGTAAGTGGTCGCTTTGTGCGCGAAAAAAGCCAACGACGAAACTTGCGAAACGGTTACTCGGTTGGAGATTTTGCAACGAGGAGGAAATGAGATATTTATGCACTGCTGATTACTTCTGTGATGATAATGCGGCGCAAACACCTTTCCCATGGCCACTACAATTACACTAATATGTATTTAGTGCGCAAATAATATACAAAACTGAGAACAAATAAAAAGCTAGTGTAATTGTAATATAGCACTGAATGGAATTCGTGACGTTATTTATGATTTATTTCAGCGCCACGCTGTGAAAGCATCAAATCAAGCTTTCTTACCAACCCATTTGTTTTTAAACATTTATTAACTCGTATAATACACGACTGTTATATTTACATCTCTTGGGACATTTCTAATCAGTGGTATTCTACTAAAGTGTAAGCAATTAATATATTGTTTTACATAAAATCACCATTATCGCACACATTACATTTCAGAAAGAAAAAAAACGTCACCTCACAGTGTTTTAATCGAATTCTCAATATTTTAGTAATTTCCGTTCTTCAGTATCGATAATACGAAGGACGTGGCTGCTGGGAGCTAACGGAGATATAGATACTGATTCCGCTCGAAGATAAACGCATGTTTTCTGTTGATGTTCGTTTTTCTTAGCACATAGCATTAATACAACACGTATACAAGTCTATGTATCTTTACGAATAATTGTTCCTGGATATATAGACAATCATATAAGTTACAATTGTCGCTACGACCTGATATCGCATTTACATTTCAATGAATACAGACAGGGCAGCATGTTACCTTCAGGATATTAACAATCAAGCGAGACAGGCGGGAGCAGATAATACTAGCAGCACCACGCAGCGCTCATTAAACTACAAAGGACTGATTCGATACATGTAATTTACCCATGTCATCAACAACTAGATACATTGAATAAATACTTTATTTCTTATTAATTGAAAGACTAAATAGGCTGATGGAATAGTTAGAATAATGAAATAACGATTCCACAAATTATAATTCTAACAAATGTGTTTGCGGCAAAAGTTGCTAAAAACATACACGTTAGAATCCACGGGTATTCTGAACACATATAACTTCCTTCATCGTTTATGTTTAAGAAAAACCATTTATTTAGTCACCACAAATATTGTAACAAGCTTTTTTCAGAATTGACAAGCAGTATTTTTTTTTATCTCAAAGTGTTAAAGAGACTGTTTGTCATATGTATTATCAACGACATGTAAATTGAAGCGAATATGTATATACGTAGATACAGTTAGTTTGGGACCTAGTGACGTGGCAGTGACGTACTCCAGTATTAATTGCAATGTCTCGCCGTCAACAAGACCAGGTCGAACACTCGCAGCGGGAGGGTCGTTACCTGCGCACGCGCGGGAATTGAGTCCCAAGCGACGATAACAACACACGCTAGAAACGCAAAGGTACATGAGTAAACGCTTGTTTGTCAACAATGACACGCTATGACCATCGGACGCATGCGCAGGTGACGACTCCCCTGCTTTAAAAAATAGATTGTGAAAACAATCTTGTCGATTGAGGATAGCCAACTGCTGAGTATGTACCCATATGTTACGCGTTCGATTTAACACGCGATCCATCCTTTGTGTTCAGCACAAGGTACGGTTTGAAATCAAAGCCTACTTGTTATAATGCACTGGCGAAATATTGTGTTTACGTCACCCTGTATATTAATTAAAATTGTATGTAAGTATTGACTAAATGTACAAGAATAAGCAAAATTTAGAAAAAAAAAACCAATAGGAAGGTAATAGCTTATAATAATTAC